TGTTCACTCAAATCAACAGTAGAATAAAGGAGTACTACATAGTAGATTCTATTACAACTACTATTTGTAAGGATACAATAAAATGCCATAGTTGGATGTTATACCAGATTACAATTTTATAGCTCTCAAAAACTTTTTCATAGGCAGAACACATTTATGCAAATATTTATTACAGCTATTTAGGAATTAACATAGACTAATGTCTTACCTCACTCAAACCTTTATATAAAAATATACAGAAATTGTGCATGTCAAAAATTTGTCTAAGACATAACCCCCCCAACACCCCACTTTTAGAGCTTACAACCTAGTTGAGGAAAGCAGCACATACACAACAGGGTAATAATAAGAAAACATGATCAAATGTTTTTGTTAGTTATAGGCATACCAAATGCTATGGAAACAATGTAGGCTAATATGATCAATAAAGATTTCCTCAAGTGGAACAACATAGTATAGTGGAGAAGAACACTAGATTTAAAGTTAGAAAATTTGACTCCAAATACTGGCTCTTCTTAACTTGGGCAAGCCATTTAACCATTACTCCTCATGGGTACAAGTAGCGGTTGGATTAGATGAATGTCAAATTTCCTTTAAGCTCTAAATCCTATTATATGACTCAAACAAGGAACTGCAGGACAAGAAGTATTTGAAAAGGTGAAAAATAAAAGAGAAATGGTTATGTGTATGTATGTATGTATGTATGTGTGTTCATTTTCAAAACAATGGTACTTTAAAGTTCAACTTTAAATCTCCTGGATATGTAACAGGAATCTCAAACTTAACATCCAAAACCGAATTCATTAATCTTCCCACTAAACCCAACACTATTCTGAAATTCCCTCTTTCTGTCAAGGCCACTACCATTACAACCATGACTCTTCATTCTCCTTCTCTGCCTCTCCCATATCCAATCCCACATCCAATGACAAGATATCATGTCAGTTCTACCTGAATACGTCAATTATCTTGTTCACTCATAGAGTTAACACCCAAGTAGAAGTGAACTACAATAATTCAGGACTACTGCAATAACTTCTGAATTGGTTTTTTTATTCCCAATCTGTACTCCAAAAAAACCCAAAATTGCTATTTTTAAAATATAGCTATGAAATTGTCAGATGCTGCTCAATAAGCTCCAATGAAGACATATTTATCCTTAGTATAAAATACAAACTCCTCTGTCTGGCATTTAAAACACTTCACAATATAACTCCAACCTATCTTTCTAGACTGATTTTACATTATTTCCCAGCCTTGCCCCTGCCCTCACATGCATTCTATATTCCAGACTATCTAGCTTATTTTTTGTTCCCCATGCATGATTTACCATTTCTTGCCTCTATTCTTTTGCATAGGCTATTCCTCATTTCTAGAATGCTCTTCTTCTAACCTCCACATCTTGGAAACCCTAGCTCCCTTGAAGCCTCATTCTGATGCTACTTCCTGATCACTACCATACCTTCCTATCAAAAATTTGCGCTTTCTACATCTCTTAATAATTTTGTATATATTTCATATTTATTTGTCTGTCTACCTGTTGTATCAGGTAAAAACAAGTCAAAAAGCATTTATTAAGTACTTTGTAAGTGCCAGGCAATGTGCAAGGATATCTCCGCCCCCCCCCCAAAAAGGATACAAAAATAAAGGCAAAAACAGTCCCTGCTCTCAAGGAATTCAATCTAACTGAGATAAATAAGACAAATGAACAAACAAGATATGTACAAAATACACGGGAGATAATATCAGAGGGAAGCACTAAGATTAAGGAGGGCTGGGAATGACATCTTACAGAAGGGACTGTTTTAGGCGGGACCTGAAAGAAGCCAGGGAAGCCAGGTGGCAGAGATAAGTATGGAGAGAGTTCCAGGCACCCCAACTGGGAAACACTGCGGTACAAGGAAGTAGCAGTGGATTTGAAATAAGAGTACCAAGGCTCAAATCCTGCCTCAATCACTTATCATCTCTGTGACCTTGGGTAAATCACATAACTCTCTGGGTTTTAGTTTCCTCATCTATAAAACAAGAGGGTTAGAGTAGATGGCATCTTAAGATTCCTTCCAGTTTAAATACGTAATCCTATTATTCCATATAAGCTACTAGTTCATTACTGCCTTTACATCTCAAGGGCCTAGCATTGTGCCTTGAACATAATAGGCACTTGACAAACTGAATTTGAACTTTAGATATCAAATTTATACTTCTTGCCATATATTATGTACATCTTGTTGGTTGATTAATCACATATTTGAAAGTATGATGAAAGCTAAAAAAAGGTTAACTGTTAATGCATATCCCTACTGGTTGGTCTTCCTCTCTCCCATTCCAGCCTATCCTCTATCAGCTTCCAGATTGAGCTTCATAAAGCCTAAGTGTGACCATGCCACCATCTACCTTCAGTAAGAGGCTGAACACCACTCAATAAATTCCAATGGCTCCCTATTTCCTCCAGGATCAAATGGAAAATCCATTGTTTGGCTTTTAAAGCTTTTCACAACCTGGCTTCTTCCTACGTTTCCAGTCTTCTTATACTTTATTCCCCATCATGTCATTACATTTCAATGACACTGTTCCTCCTCACACACAGCACTCCCACCTCTCCACTGTGTGCCTTTTCAATGGCTGTTCCTCAAACCTGGAATGTTCTCCTTCCTCCCCTCTGTTTCTTAGCTTCCCTAGCTTCCTTCCTGTAAGTACATATGTGCACGCGCACGCACACACTCTCTCTCTCTCTCTCTCTCTCGTATGTGCATAGTTTTCTGCATGTAGTCTTCCCCATCAGATTTTTGAGCTCCTTAAGGACTGAGCCTGTTTTGCCTTTCTTTGCAACTAGCACTTAGGACAGTGACTAGTGTATGGTAATTGTTTAATAAATGCTTGTTGACTGGTTGAATGAATACTTAAAGGGAAACATTTTGGAAATTTTTGACAAAGCTAATTAAATATCACAGTATGAATTTAGAAAGTTTTTGTTAAGGAGTTGTTTGACTGGTGGTCTATTTAAAATTAATTAATTGTATTGTTTACTTTGTCCCATTGTAATCAACAGTCTATAACTTCCTGAGGACACAAAACTTACATGACCTTAGTTTCTAATGATTGATATGACTATCAGAAATAGATAAAATAGAAAACACAAACTGATCTTATGTTTTAAAAGTTTAAGCTTTACTCTCTGAGACTGTGCAACTTTTCTATAAATTCAAAATTATATAAATTGCAAAAAACACAGGTACTGCATGCTAAGCTAAATTATCACTCTACTGTCAATGTTTAATTTTTCAGGAATTATATCTTTAAAGGAAAGAAAAACAAAGTCCAAACATCAGCTTTTGAATCGCCAGTAGCATGCTAAGCATTCAAGTCAATATAAATGATTTTCCACTAGTATTAGATTTCAATTTAACAGGAATCTGATTCATAACCATTTTATCACAGTAGTTCAGTGAAACTCAAAACTACTGAAAGGCCAAACCAATATACTTATCAGAAATTCCCACCTACATTTTCAAAGAATAGTTTTTATATTATACCTTTCCTGAAACCCTGGTCTGTTCTTTGTTTAGTAGAAGCCTTTGGAAATGTAATTAAGTAAACAAATCAACAAATTTTCTGGTTTTTAATATAGCTATTCCTAGTTAATTGGGTCACATGACATGGTTTTTGTGTGACCATAAAGCACAGATGTTCTTCTTTCAGACTGTTATAGATCGATATCTCCAACATATTTTAAATTGTTATTAGGCACTAGGTTCATATTTATAGCAAAAATCTACTCATTTAATGAAAACCACTATATCATATATAACATTCTTTACCTGTATAACATGTTTTACCTGAAAAAGCAGACTGCTCATGCTAAATGAATAATTTATGCTGAAACATCATTTGTTTTGTCTGCTACCAAGACATAATTCATATTAAAGACACAAACAAAAACTGCCATCTATATTGTCACTATAAATTATGCACCCCTACATGTGTGTAACTTCCATATTCTATTTCTTAAAACTGTACATCAAATATTTAAAATTCTGGTGCTATTCTATGTTCATAGCTGTAACAGATTAAGTAGCTAAGGCACTGGTTTCATTTTTAATGCAAATAATTGATTTGTATAGATTTAAAATATCAAAATTAGTGATAACATATAAGGAAGGATAAGAAAGCGATCAGAATGAGAAAAGTGGAGAAATGAGTGGTATTATACTAGGTACAATTCAGTGAAAAATTGCAAGGGTAAGAAAGGTGGAGGGCTACGTCTCATACTCTAAGAGAAATGGGTAGTCTCTTTTTTAATCCATGACAAATTAGGGCAAAGAAACAAATAGTAAAGAATATTATATACAAAGAACATGACTTTAAGGTCCCTTACAAATCAATTAACTAAATTATACACAAAATGTTTAAAAACCTGAAGTGTTGTATAAGACAAAAGCCACTTCTGATTCAATTTAACAAGTTTTACTTCAGTTATTAAATCCTTAATTTCTGAATAAACCTTTGAAAAGGCAAAAGAAGATTATATCTAGAGAACAATTATTTTAAAACACCAGTCAATAAATCCTAACACAATTATTATAAAAGCAAAGATTGCCTAGGCAGAAATAGGTTATAAAATATTTATCCTTTGGATGATTCTGATAAATCACGCTCATTTTTAGGAAAAAAATAAGTATCAGTGAGTTGGGGAAAGGGGATTTGCCAATAAAAACTAAATAGACTTCAAATACTTTATTGATCTCATTAAAAGACCTGTTTTTTTCTCCAATACGCCTCATATGAAACTTGAAATGGGGCAATATCTGGTATAATTTTTTAATGTATACTATGTGTATTATTTTTTCCTTAATAAAGATATCTGTAATAAGACAAAATAAAAAGATGTGGAAGAGACTACATAGGTAGCCTTTTAAAAGAGACTGTGACTGGTAGATTGACATTGGCTAACTAAAGACATACTTTATTTACTATGAAAACAGAGAAGAGAATGTACTTACCCTTCTCCTCCCATTCTTGTTATTTTTAGGCGAAAATCTACAGAATTCAGACTGGGAGGTTTCCATTTCAAAATATCATCACACCGACCAGGTTTGTATTTCTAAAGCAAATTTTTAAAAATGAATGGTTATGATTGGATTAAATATTTTGAGGTGATAAAAAAAATCAACTCAAAGGTACCCATCAACTATTTTCAAATACCTAGAAAAATACTGCTACAATTTCTTCCCTCAATACTGTTTATCATATATTACTCAACCAACAAAGAATCTCTGTAACCAAAACTACTTCTAATAATTCTGTATCCCAAACTCAATTCCAAATCATTGGCATTACCACTTGGTAGGGCTCAGATTAAGAATGAAAATGATTTTTCTTATATAATCATTCACACTGTGATCAAAAGAAGCTCAAATTGTAAAATGCAGGAATGAAAGAAAGGAAGCAGAAAAATCTGTCAGATAATCTGCAGGTGGAGTTCTTTACTCACCTCTCTGCTACTGATGGATATCTCTGACTCCAAAATGACTCCCTTAATCTGCTTCTATTTCTGTTAATGGCACCACTATTCAACTACATTTAAAACTTCGAAACAATCTTCTAAATTTTCCTTTGCATTGTCCGATGAATTCATCCATACACCAAGAGCTGCTGCTTCTCTTTCATCTCTCTCTCATAGCTGTCCCTGACTATTCACAATGCCATTATCCTAGGTTCTGTCCTCATCGTCAACTGCCTGAATTACTCAAATTACCCCTCTTGCCAGACTATTTTTTTTCTAAAATAATACTCTGGTAATATAATTTTCAAGCTCAAAAATGTATAAGGAAAAACTACTGCCTATAGGATGAAGTACAATCTCCTGAATATGGCATTCCAAGCCCTCTATAGAGTCTGGTCTCACCTTTTTCCTCCAACCATGAATTCTCCACTTCTTAATATCCAAAGTATTGCTGAATACTTAAATAAGAAATCTATGGACAAGGTCACCCTCCTTAAGAATGGGAATCTGAGTAGCTCGTGGAAATTATAGTATAGTATGCAGCAAAGACTGCAGAATAACATATGATACAAAAGTAGAATGCAGAAATTTAAGAAAGCTTCATTTCATAATGGCCAAGTCTTACAGTATGAGAAGACAACGTCATAGGCTTTATACTTAAAGACTTTAGTATCACAGGATCATGAATTTAGAGCCAGAAGAGACTTTAGTGCCATCTAACTCAACTTATAAATACTAATGAGGAAACAGCAAACATAAGTGATTTACTCAAGCTCTCTCCCTCTCTCTCTCTACCTCACACACACACACACACACACACACATACACACACACATATCAAGGAGCAAAACTGGATTCTTTGACTTCGCCTCCAGCTCTCTTTCCACTCAAGAGTTAGAATTGTGGACAGTCCTCCAGTGAGTTAAGACTAGAATCTTTAGCATGTCTGACTTAAGGGAGGAAATCCATTAGAACATGAAGGATTTCAGCATCAGTTAATTTCCCAATATTTCCTAGGGGCTAAATTATGGTCTAATATATATATCCCCAAAGTCATCTCCCTTGTGAGATCTAAGACACAGATATATACTCAATTTGCATATACGTATATCTAGTCACATACACATATCATATAGATGTGTCGATTGGCCAACAATTTATTAATAATAAATTTATTTAGCAAGTCCAATGTGCCAGGAACTGTGTTAAGCACTGGAAATATAAAGAAACATAAAAGACAATCCCTGTTCTCAAAGAGCTTACAATCTAATGAGGGGAGACTACATGCAAAAAAACTATATAAAAACAAACTATATACAGGATTGGAAATAATCAACTGAGGGGATGGGGAACTAGAATTAAGGGGGGATCAGGAAAGGTGTAGCCAGAAGGCCAAGATGAAAAAAAGGATTTCAGACATGGGAGATAGCTAGTGAAAATGCCTGAGGATGAACTATTTTATGAGAGGAACAGCAGGGAGGCCCATGTGAACCAGTCAATAAGCATTTATTAAATGTTTCTAAGAGACATACACTTTGCTAAATAAACACTGGGGATACAAAGACAAAAGACAGTATCTAACCTTGAGAAGCTCACAATCTAACAAGGGAAACAGCACGCAAACAACTAGGTACAAACAAGTTACAAGGTTATATTTCATGTATGTATGTATGTATGTATGCATGCATATATGTACCTATGTATGTATGTATGTGTGTGTGTGGCATCTTGCTCATCCAACCTTCCTATATTTGTTCATGCTTTTTTCTCATAATGCCTCAAATACTTTATACAGAATAGACCCTATAATTTTGCAGTTAGACACTCGTACAAATCCAACCTATCCCTCAATACTAAGCATAGAATCACCAAATGCTTAAAAATTAATTAAATAAATCATTTAGATATGTTGACTTCCATTTTCCAAAACCAAAATAAAAGTGTATTTTTTCATGGGTTCAATAAATTAGAATAATTTCCTGAGCTGTTATAATCAAATTATTTTTGGGAGAATATGTTTATTTTTCTTGATGATTATAGTATTTTAAAAATACAATAGATTTGGGATGTTGTCATTTTTTATTATGTTACGAAGCTGAAAGAATAATTTAATACATGTTTGCCTTGGTAATATTCTGTTTAGAATTTAAATTTTCAATCTTATGAACAGAAACAATTAGATAAATGTTATCACAACATCCTTTAAAAAATACATTTTCTATTGAGGGCACTTAAAACAAAATGAATGAACTATTAATATTCTAATACATAACATGCAGGTATAACTCCACAAACTACACATATTAACTATGCTCTATTTCTTTTGACATTTTTGCTTCAAATATAGAGTGAATAACAATTTCTAAATAGATACCACATTTCCTTTTATGTCTTATATGTCCTTATATTCCTTATATGTCCTCTTAATTTCCCAAATATATGCCTACTTTTGAGCAGTAAACAATGTCTGGGTATGTGTAGAGGCATGAATGCTTACACATTTAATTTTCCCATTTGGACATCTGATTATTAACAGATCTTAACTCCTATAGGCTTGTTAAGAACAGATTTTTTTTAGAAATGTGAACTGTGTTTAAATCTGCTTGTTGAAAGTTCTTGTTTACATACCTTTCCTTTTCCTATCAGAGGTTCTGGTCTAAAAGGGGTTGCTATTGATGATACCTATCAAAGCCTATCAAGGAATAAATTTTGATTCTGGTGTTATTACTTGCCAACATAATGTCACTATATAAGTCATTTACAGGACGTCATTTAAAAAAAATCAATGAGGAAAGGAAGAATAAGTGGATAAGCAGAACACAAGAAAATGTTTATCAAAAGTAGTTTCAATATTATTTGTTACTGTTGATTTTTATACTCTCCAATTGAATCTTAGAAATAAATTTGCACATTTCTTGGCATTATCCTTACCACTTGTTAAACAGTGAAGCAGGATAGGGGTTTTCACATATTTCACAATAATTACCTGAACACATTATACTGTTATTTCCTCTGACATTTCATTATGTTATAAATGTTTAATGAAAATAATTTTTAAATCCTTATTATGAAGTCATTTCACAATATCACCATAATTCCTCTTGAAAACTCAGAAAATGTGAGAAAATTTTTCTATAAGACATAGCCCTAACTTTAAAAATTATGACCATCATTATTACCATTCAAAGAGCTACCAAATAAGCATCATTACTCAAATTAATAAAGGCAGATTAAATTTCAATAAGACACATTAATTAAAATACTTCATCCTGCTAAAACTAAAAAAATTTAATCTACCATTTAATTTCATCATATATGTATTCATTCATACATTTATTCATTTGATCATGATGCATTCACACATTCAGCATGTATTCTATGGCAAGAAGCTGTGTGCTAGGCATTAAACAATTTCACTAACTCAGTTATATTTTTGGTGTTTTAATGTTCATAAAGCACTTTTTTACAATAGTCCTGTAAAGTAGGTAGCACACATATTATTTCTATTTTACAGATAAGGAAAGGTGAAGAGATTTTAAGTCATTCATTCAAAGCATCATGAATGAAATCCAAGATTCACTGAAGTTTTCTGCTTCTCTCCAGGCTCGGTACTTTTTCCATTAGATCATATGGTCTTTATACACCATGATTTCCCATTTATATAATACTTTGTAATGGAAAAGGCTTTCTTTACACTGAGATAATCAGTGTATTATAACCTCCATTTACAGATGATGAAGTAGAGACTGAGAGATTGTGATCTGTTCACAGTGACAGATTCAGTGACAGAGCCAGCATTTGAATCTAAGTCTTCTGATTCTTCTTCCAGAACTATTTCTACTGCCTCTCTATTAAAATTGCAACCAGAATTTTTTTTTCTGCCCAAACACAAATATATAAGGTACTTCACTTAAAAAAAATGAAAGCAAAAAGTGAAATACAAGTAGGTCAGTAACAAAGATTTTCATGCAGAAACATTACAATAATTATAATACTAAATTAACTTTGCATTTTTTAACCTATGTTAAAGATATTGCTACCTAGGCATGTACATGATGGAATACCTGCATTTATGAGGAGACAGAAGGCAAATTAAACATGTTTGCCTTTAAAAGGCTTGCTTTGCTTCTTTTTTTAAATTAACATTTGGACATGGCACAGCGGACTTGGTATTAGAAAACCTAATTAGTTCAAATCCAGGTCAGCAACTTTACTACACCTATGTGACCTTGAATTAGTCCCTAAAACCAAGTCTGTTTTCTCTAAAACAAAGAGTTGGAGTAGATGATCTTCTATGATCCCTTCTAGCTCCAAATCTATAATCCTATGAGAAAATCTCGGCACTTTGTCATGCATTTATAGCTCCAATCCTTATTTCTTAACAATTAATTTAAACCTAAAGAATGAATTTATAACAATATTATTATTAAGTCATTTAACAATTAAGATAAAGTAAGCCTCTAAGCAAGAATGGAAATGTATTTTCCACCTTATTTGTAAAGAGTAAGGTTACATTTTTGATAAATAATAAAAAGTAAAAGTAAAATGATGCTTCACTATCACTATGAAAAAGTGCAATTTTATCAAAAATAACAGAA